GGGGAGGCCCTGGCTTGCTGGATGGGGGGGCTGGCTTGCTGGATGGGGGGGCGGGAAGCCCTGGCTTGCTGGATGGGGGCGGGGAGGCCCTGGCTCGCTGGCTGGGGTAGCTACTCACATTCTGGAAGGAGGGGACCCCCACGGAGCGCAGCCACCTCTGCAGGACCTGCGGGAAGGCGCCATGCTCCTGCTCCGCCTGCACAACCAGGGCTTCCAGGAAGGCGGCGTGGCGCCCGACCATCTTGACGAAGGCCTGGAGGAGAGAGCGGAGCGCGATGCCTCGTCGCCCGTCCATACTTTTGACCACAGCGACCTCGTTTTAGCCCCACCCGAGGCTCAGGGAGCTTGAGTCGCTTCTCCAGAGCCACACAGCACAAAGTGACAGAGAGGAGATGCAAGGTACATGGACAGATGCTAAAGCCCTCTTTTCTAGCTGCCTAGGAGGCTGAGATCTGAGGGTCATGGTTCAAACCCAGCCCAGGCAGAAAAGTCGGAGATTCTTACCGCCAAAGAACCACCAAAAAAGCTGGAAGTAGAACAAGAGGTAGAGTGATCGCCCTGAGTAAAAAAGCTTAGGGTCCAGCCAGGCAGTGGTGGCTCACACCTGTCATCCTAGCTACTCAAGAGGCTGAGATATGAGGATCACGGTTCAAAGCCAGCCTGAGCAAGAAAGTCCATGAGACTCTTAGCTCCAATGAACCACCAGAAAACTGGAAATGGTGCTGTGGCTCAAGTGGTAGAGCGCTTACCTTAAGCTAAAGAGTTCAGGGACAGCGCCCAGGCCCAGAGTTCAAGCCCCACGACAGACAAAAAAATAAAATAAATTAATTTTTAAAAAACCTACCTAGCCGGGCGCCGGTGGCTCACACCTGTAATCCTAGCTACTCAGGAGGCTGAGATCTGAGGATCACAGTTCAAAGCCAGCCCAGGCAGGAAAGGCCATAAGACTCTTTATCTCCAATAAACCACTAGAAAACCGGAAGTAGCGCTGTGGCTTAAGCAATAGAGCACTTGCTTTGAGCTGAAGAGCTCAGGGACAGCGCCCAGGCCTAGAGTTCAAGCCCCACGACCAACAACAAAAAAAAAAAACACCTACATGGGGGCGAGCATCCTAGTCTGGGTGAGCCCAGGGTAGGAGTGGAAAGGGAGGCGCTAGCGAATGGCCGGAGGGTGCTGCCCTGCAGGCCTTGAAATGGATGAGAAGCTGAAAGGTGAGAGTCACCAACCTACCAACCCTTCACTGGGCTGGGGAGGCACATTTGGAGCTTCGGACTTCAGAGCTGTAAGATAATGCGTGGCCAAGTGTGGCTGTGCACACCTGTAATCCAGAGCCTAGGAGACAGACAAGAGGACCCACGGGCCCAGGCCAGCCTGGGCTCCCCAGAGAGACCCTGTCTCTAAAATGATGGTTTGTTGCCAGAAGCCATGTTTTTAGTAGTGTGCCACGCGGGCAGGAGCCTGGCACGGTCAGCAAGTGAACAGTAAGGAAAGAATTGGGCTTAAGTCCAGTGCAGTGTCACTGACTGTAATCTCAGCACTCAGGAGGCCCAAGGCCTGAGTATTGGGAGTTCAAGGTCAGCCCAGCCTATACAGCCAGACCTCGTCTCAAAAATAAAAACAGTAACCACCACACAAAAGCAAATACGCCTATTACAAAGAACCAGTGTGAGAATCTTCCCCGCGTCTCTCCCCTTTCCAATGTGCAGAATAAAATTCAAATGAATCAGCCATTCCAAGGGCAAAGTTTTAATTACATCCCTGCCCCATTCTCAGCTGACAGGAATGTTAATTCTCTAAGTCAGTACTGATCACCACGCATGCGTGCTCCGCAGAGGCTTAGCGCTGAGGACCCCAGCTCCTCTGGCCAGAGACTTCGCAGCCTTGGGTCCCTCCTGGCCTTCACCAGGGAGAGAGACCAAGCTCCCATCCCCCTTCCCCATCAAAGCCAGAGCCCAGGCCCTGGCTGCTTCCTGCAGCCCTGAAGAGGGGCTTACTGCCTTCCCTCTGGGAGCTCCTGCTCCTCCGCGGGGATGGAGGTCAGCTGGGGGGTTGGGGGGGGGGTTGTGGCAGGCGGGAGCACCAAGGCGGCAGGAAATCAGCTGGAGCTGGGAGGGAGCACTCTCCCTCAGCCCCATCATCTTGTGGGAATCCACTGAAATATAACAACCGGCCAGTGGGGCACCAAGCAGACAATGGGAGCCCAAGGCTGAATCTACAAGGCTCAAATGCAGATTTTTATATAAAGGAGCTCCTTATTTATTATTAGTCTTTTGGTGCTGGTCCTCGGGCTTGAACTTGGAGTCTGGGCGCTGTCCCTGATCTCTTTTGCTCAAAGCTAGCACTCTGCCACTGGAGCCTGAGCGCCACTTCTGGTTTTCTGGAGATTAATTGGAGATAAGAGTCGCCTAGACATTCCTGCCTAGGCTGGCTTTGAACCTGGATCCTCCTGAGTAGCTGGGATTACAGGCGTGAGCCTTGGGAGCCCAGTGGGACCTCAATGTCTTGAACGTGAGCAATATTCCCATGTGAGCCCTTCCTGTGCCTCCCATCTCCCTGGCCCACCGGACACGGCCAGGCCACACGTACAGCCATCCCCCCCACCTCCGCATCCTGGCCGCAGGAGGCAGACACTCACCTCCAGCCGGTCCACTCTGGCGTAGACGCCCCGGATCTCCACCGCCTTGGCCTTCAGGAGTGGAAGGTTTTCCTCTAGGATCTGGGAGGTATCACTCCTGATCTGGAAGAGAGAAGGACGGGAGGTCTCTGGGTTGCCATTTCTGCACAAATCCCACCTGTGGCTAGCACAGCACCCCAGGGTCCAGCACCTGCGGGGGACCCTGCCTCAGCCAGGCAGATTCAGCCCAGGGGAGCCCTGCCACCACTGTGAGGATCTGGGCCCAACCAAGCCGTCCTGGGACCCCTGGGCCCCGGAACCTGGCATGGAACAAACACTAGTTGTTAGTGTTGTTGATATTTATCTAACTTTCATGTATTTATTTTACTTTTGTTGGTCGTGGGGCTTGAACTCTGGGACTGGGCGCTGTCCCTCAGCTCTTCAGCTCAAGACCAGTGTTCAAGCCACAGCGCCACTTCCTGTTTTTGGATGGTTTATTGGAGATAAAAGAGTTTCATGGCCTTTCCTGCCCGGGCTGGCTTTGAACCCTGATCCTCAGATCTCAGCCTCCTGAGTCGCTAGGATGACAGGCGTGAGCCATGGGCGCCGGGCCATGTATTCATTTTCACAGGGCCCCACACATGCTAGGCCAGGCCTACTGAGCCAGCCCCAGCCTCGGCCGCCACCGCGGCCGCCATCACGCCACTGATGACAAGGAGGAGGTTTAGGAGCTGGCTCGGCCTGCGCACAGCAGGTGAGAAAGCAAGCCCAGTGCTTTGGAGCTGCGGGATTATGCCTGGGGACAGGGCAGGGGGGAGGGGAGCAGGGTTAAACCTGGCCAGAGCTTTGGTCTGCTGTGAGCTCCCATTATCTGAGGACTGAGATATCTCAGGCCAGGCCTTGTGAGATAAGGAAGTCCCTGGCCCAGGGGAATTTCCACTGTCATCCCAGATGTTTATCCCTGAGCCGAGTCCACTGGAATCCAAGGTGACCGCAGAGAACAGGGTCCTTGAGCTGAGACAGGCAAGATGGCAGCCGAGCATGCGCAGGCAGGCCCAGAGGCCTCTCTGCAGACGCCGTGTCTAAGTCCCCATCCAACCCCACCAGGCTGGAGAGGCGCTGAGAACAGGGGGCGCCTGGCCTCGGGGCCCCTGTCACCCCTCCCTCACCAGGCCTGAGCTCCCTCCTGTGTCTGGAGTCCACATGTCCCCCCTGCTTCCTGCACCAGCCCAGGGGCCGCCGGTCTGCAGGCGTGCGCGCTGCACCTCCTTTGTCCACAAAGCTGCTGGGGTTTTCACTGAATTTCCGACTGAAAACTCCAGAGAGCCTGGAGAAGTAAGCGGCTGAGTCCAGGGCCGCAACAAGAAAACGTAAGGCGAGGCACTACATTCGTTAGGTAGTTAAAATAAAATGGAGCCAGGTGCTGGTGGTTCACGCCTGTAACCGTAATTAGGAAGCTGAGGTCTGAGGACCATGGTTCAAAACCAACCTGAGCAGAAAAATCTGTGAGACTCTTATCACCCATCAACCATCAAAAAGACAAAAGTGCCAAGTACTGGTGGTTCACAACTGTTATCCTAGCTACTCAGGAGATTGAGATCTGAAGATTGCGGTTCAAAGCCAGCCAGGGCAGGAATGGCTATGAGATTCTTTTTCTTTCTTTCTTTTTTGTCAGTCTCAGGGCTTGAACTCTGGGCCTGGGCGCTGTTCCTGTGCTCTTCAGCTCAAGGTGAGCACTCTACCACTCAAGCCATAGCGCCACTTCCTGTTTTCTGGTGGTTTATTGGAGATAAGAGTCTCACAGACTTTCCTGCCTGGGCTGGCTTTGAACCGTGATCCTCAGATCTCAGCCTCCTGAGCAGCTAGGTTGACAGGCGTGAGCTACTGGCACCTGGTTCTATGAGATTCTTATCTCTAAGGAGCCACCAGAAAACCAGAAGAGGAGCTGTGGCCCAAAGTGTTAGAAGACTAGCCTTGAATGAAAGAGCTGAGGGACAGCGCCCAGGCCCTGAGTTCAAGCCCCACAACTGGAAAAAAAAAAAATGCTGGAGGGGTGTGTGTGTGTGTGTGTGTATGTGCGCGCGCGCGCGTGTGTGTGTGTGTGTGTGTGCGCGTGCGCGCGCGCAGCCTCTGCACAAACACTACACCATTTCCTGCCAGGGACCTGGGCTTGAGCAGGTTTTGAAATCCAGGGATCCCCATCACCCCCAGAGCCCCCTAGCGTGGAGGCCATGTTGCCAGCGCACTCTTCTCCCTGAGGAGGGAGCGACGGTTCCTTCCCTCACGCCGGCCCCACTTCCCAAGCGCAGGCTCAGCTCGGCTCAAGGGCAGAGCAGAGGAGCCAGGCCTGTCTTTCTTTCCTATTGATCGCTAGAGAACCACCTTGAGCCAGCAGGGTGTGGTGGGTCATCCCTGTAATCCCAGCTACTTAGGAGATGGACATCCAGAGAACTGTGGTTCCAGGCCAGTCAGGTAAAAAGCTCACGAGCCCCCATCTCAATAGCAAGAGTGGGCTCTGTGGTACACTTCTGCGATCCTGGCTACCTGGGAAGTACAAATGAGAGGATCATCGCTCGGGCCAGCCTGGACATATAAATATGAGACCTTACCTGGAAAATAACTATATAGCCAAAGGGCTGGGGGAGGAGGGGGAGGGGTAGAATGCCAACCCCAGTGCCCACAACCAGGTAGATGGGGAAGGCAATGCGGAGGTGAGGCTGGTCTGAGGGGTGGGAAGGTGAGGATGCCCAGCCCCGACTCCACCTCACTGGAGGACCGGAGGAGCTGCGGGCCCAGACACACGTCGCTCCCGGGCCCCGCTTCTCCCGGACAACAGCAGGCAAGAGAGGGCTGGGCGCACTCGCCACCAGCACGCTGCAGGCTCGGGGGGACGGAAAGAGCCCCAACCCTCCTTCCAGGCTCCCCTTCGGGTCCGGAACAGTGAGAGGTGCCAGGCACTGTCCAGCACTGGCCCAACCGCGTCACCAGAGGACGGACGGCCCGTGCACGGGGCGGGTCCCTCTGGCTAAGGCTAAGGTTAATGAGATCCCAGCCCAGGCTGCTCCATGGCCCCGCATGGGCCCGGGGCCCTGGCCCAGGAACGAAAGGCTGACGCCTCCGATTCCCGCAGTTCTGGGCACCTGGATCTGGCTGCCCCGAGCCCGCAGACTACACGCTAGCCATCAGCAGCTAGAGATAGATACCCATGGCTTTACCACAGTCTCCACCGCCCCCAGACTCCCCAGCATGCAACACGGCCCCCACAGCACCCTCCCTCCCTCCCTTCCTCCCTCCCTTCCTTCCTCTCTTTCTTTCTTTGTGCCAGTCCAGGTGCTTGAACTCTGGGCCTAGGACATTGTCTCTGAGCTTATTCTGCTCAAGGCTAGCGCTCTACATTTGAGCCACAGCGCCACTTCAGGCTTTTTCTGAGTAGTTTATTGGAGATAAGCGTCTCCAGAAGCAGGCACTGATGCTCACGCCTGGAATTGTAGCTACTCGCGATGCTGAGATCTGAGAATCATAACTTGAAGCCAGCCTGGGCAGGAAAGTCTGTGAGACTCTAATCTTCAATAAACCACCCAGAAAAAGCTGAAGTGGCTCTATGATTCAAATGGTAGAGCACTAGCCTTGAGCAAAAGAGCTCAGGGACAGCACCCAGGCCCTGGGTTCAAGGCCCCAGGCCAAGGAGGGGGAAGGGGAAGGGAATCACGGACTTTCCCGCTTGCGGTAGCTTCAAACCACAATCCTCAGATCTCAGCCTCTTGAGAAGCTAGGATGACAGGCGTGAGCCACCAGCGCCCAGCTATCACCAAGCATCTTTCCTGGGATCGCACTGTGTCCGAGGCTGTCCGGGAGGGCTGTGGATGCCCGCTGCCTGGCACAGGTCGGTGCTCTGTGTGCTACCCTGGCTTGGGACCCGCCGGGCAGGACAGCCACTCTGTGGGGAAAGGCAGAGCCTGGCACCGCATGCAGTCTCCGCATGGAGTCTCTCTCCCCTTTAGGCTGCTGGTTTGTCCTTAGTGAGTGTGGGGTGTCACTGATCACCACCCTGGGGGCTCCGACCGTGGCAGGCAGGAGCCTGGGGCCCCATGGATGGTGAGGAAATGTCTGGGAATCTGAACCTGCCCCTGGGCCTTGGTCATTCATTGTCCCCCATCTTTTCCCCGCCCCCTGCCCTGGGGACCTGACCCAACAAGCCCTGAAGAGAGCAAAGGAGCTCTGGCAGGGCGTCGGTGTCCAGCCCTGCTAGGAGCAGGCGCAGGCGCGGGCCGGGCAGCAGGCTCCTCGCGGGCCTCCAGGCCCGGCCACTTCCTGGCCGGCTCCATGCTTGAAGGGCGAGTTAAATATAGAGGCGTCCCTGCGGCGGGCTCCCGGAGAACCCCAGAGCGCCACCTCGTGGCCGGCGCCAGCGCCTCTGAGGACCAGAAACCATCTTGGGGGAAGAAGATCAAGATGGCTGCCCAGGAAGCCCTTGGGAGAAAGACAGATGACAGACAGACACACAGACTGACACCCCTCACCCCTGGCCCAAGTTCTGGTGGTTACATCAAGGCCCTGAGCCCACCCCGCAGCCCACTCACCATGTCCACCAGGCTGCAGAACTCCTCCAACATGAGAAACAAGCCCTCCATGGCGGCCTCCACCTGCCTTGCCTGCCAAGAGACCACACCGGCCTGCATTAGCACGTGGTTTCCAGGGAGACAAACCCTCCTGGCTGTTCTTCTTAAGACTTCATTCAAGACCCTGCCTTTTCCAAGTCCTGCAGGAATTAGACCCCACCCACAGAGGACCTGCTAAAGCCTCACCGGGCAAGTAGATCTATGGAGGAATAAATACCGAAGCTGCTCCAATCCCCTCTGGTGTGCAGATGTGGAACCTGAGGCCCAGAGAGGTGTGGTGACCTGAGCAAGGTCACACAGCTAAAGGCAGGGGAGATGCTAAGGGTGGCTAGACCCCACAGCCTCAAAGCCACAGACAAGAGCAGTGAGCCCCAGAAGAGGTAGAAACACGCACAGCCACACCAGCTGGTGGAGGAGGAGGCCATGCCAGACCCACGGGGTATATTTGGGGTTTGTTGAGAATTCACGTTTAACCAAACCTCTAGCCCAGCATGGGGGTCCCTGGGGTGGACCCTGGGGAGCTGCTCTGCCCCCGCAGAGGTGGAAGCCCACGCAGAGCACAGAATAAATACCAACGATGAAGCCCTAGACTGAGGTTTCCCATTGGGCTGGGGTTGGGGGCTCAGAGGGAGTGCACTGGGATCCACCTCCAGCAGCATGAGGGCGGGGGGGGGGGAAAGGGGGGGAGGAAGGAAGGAGAAAGAAGCCAGGCACCAGCGGCTCATGCCTATAATCCCAGCTACTCAGGAGGCTGAGCGCTGAGGATCACTGTTCAAAGGCAGCCCAGGCAGGAAACTCCATGAGACTCTTTTTTTTTGTCAGTCATGGGTCTTGAACTGTGGGCCTGGGCGCTGTCCCTCAGCTCTTCAGCTAAAGGCTAGCGCTCTACCACTTGAGCCACAGCGCCACTTCCAGCTTTTCCCATTTATGTGGTGCTGAGGAATCGAACCCAGGGCCTCATACAAGGCAAGCATACAAGGTGGCTCTACCACTGAGCCACCTTCCCAGCCCCAATGAGACTCTTACCTCCAATGAACCACCAGAAAACCAGCAGTAGTGCTGTGGCTCAAGTGGTAAAGTGCTCACCTTGAGCTGAAGAGCTGAGGGACAATGCCCAGGCCCAGAGTTCAAGACCCATGACCAAAAAAACCCCCACAGAAACCAAAAAACAAACAGGAAGGAAGGAAGCAAGGAAGGAAGGCAGGCAGGCAGGCAGGCAGGCAGGCAGGCAGGCAGGCGCTGGTGGCTCACACCTGTAATCCTAGTAACTCAGGAGGCTGAGATCTGAGAATTGCGGTTCAAAGCCAGCCAGGGCAAGAAAGTCTGTGAGACTCTTATCTCCAATAAACCACCAGAAAACCAGAAGTGGTGCTGTGGCTCAAGTGGTAGAGCACTCACCTTGAGCTGAAGAGCTGAGGGACAGCGCCCAGGCCCAGAGTCCAGGCCCCATGACCAACAAAGAAAAAAAGAGAGGGGGTGGGGGGAGAGAAGAAAAGGAAGGGAAGGGAAGGGAAAGGAAGGGAAGGGAAGAGAAAGGAAGGGAAGGGAAGAACAAAGGAAAAGAAAAGCGGTGCTGGGCTGGTGTCTAGCTGGAAGGTACATGCCCAGGTCCTGCCACCCGAGGTCCAGGGGGAACGCTGGCCCTGACCTGTCCCATTTGCTCATTAATCAAGAGGAGCCAAAAGTTCCAATTCTGTGGAAGTGCCCCAGTTTATATTGTGTGTATGTGCCGATAGTGAGGCCTGAACTCCGGGCCTCACACTCTGAAGGCTGGTGCTCTACCACTTGAGCCACAGCTCCACTTCCGCCTCTTTGGTGGTTAATAGGAGATAACAATCTCATCGTCTTTTCTGCCTGGGCTGGCTTCGAACAGTGATCCTCAGATCTCAGCTTCCTAAGTACCTGGGAGTACAGGTATGAGCACCAGCACCCAAGTTGAAGTACCCTGATTTCTAAGTCATGGCATATGCCCAAAAAGAAGTCTTTCCTCTCCCTGGACCAAAGCTCTCCAGGTGTTCAAACCCAGTCACTCACTCATGTAAAACTCAGAGTGGACTTTCCTGCTCCTGGGACCTGGAGGCGGGTGCCCCTCCCCATCTCCCCCTGCTGGGCCTAGGGCTCTGTGTGGGAGTTGGAGGCAGACAGGACCTTGAGGCCTGGACACCCCCATACCCGGAAGCTCCCCACCACCGACCTGTCCCCCGGGTTTAGAAAGAACCAGACACCCGCCTCCAGCACCAGCCTTCGCAACCACACAGAATAAACCGCTGGGCAGAAATCCTCTTTCCCGTTGGGGCTGGGCTATTTCTGGGCCTCGATAGGAAGGTTGGAAAAAAGGGGCCAGAACGTAGGGGAGGCCAGGAGGGAAGAGATCCAGCCCAGCCCTGCAAGAAGGAGGGAGGTTAAACAGGAAGGGGAGGGGGAGCGTGGGGGGCGTGGCTCTGCACCAAAGAAAAGCGGGAGATGCTGGTGGGAGCTGGAAACCCTGGAACAGAAGGTAGACCACCCAGATGCTAAGCCCTGATGGCAGATGAATGGAGGCCGCCAGCCAGGGTGCCAGGTGCCCCTGCTGAGGGGAAGCAGGCCAAGCAGCATAGAAAGGGCGGGGCCCAAGCCTGGGGGCGGGGCCCAGACAGAGCCGCTGGCTGGCAGGGGCCTGGTGGGAGGGAGGGGATTAAGGGCATGTTCAAGTCCTGAGTTCAAATCTCATCTCTTCTGCCTCCGACCCAGACTGGCTGCGTCCCAGGGCCTGGCCTGTAACGGGAGCCTCACAGCCTGGTGACGGGTTGTTGGGAAGCCACCCTGAGGTTCTAACTGCCAGCCCTGCCGCCGCAGGAGTGTACCCGGCATTCTCTCCCCCAGAGGAGCACAGCTGGGTACCATCACTTCCCCTCTGTGAGGACTGAGCATGGGAGAGGTTAAACCGCTTGCTCAAGCCGGGGCTGGTGGCTCACGCCTGTACTGCTGGCTTCTCAAGAGGCTGAGAGCCAAAGCCAGTGTGGACTGTAAAGTCCATGAGACTTTCTTTTGTCTTTTTTTGCCCTGGGGCTTGAACTCAGAACCTGGGTGCTGTCTCTGAGCTCTTTGTGATCAAGGCCAGTGCTCTACTGCTTTGAGCCACAGCTCCACTTCCTATTTTCTGGTGGTTACTTGGTGGTAAGAGTCTCACGGACTTTCCTGCCTAGCTTTGAACCATGATCCTCCGATCTCAGCCTCCTGAGGAGCTAGGATGACAGGTGTGAGCCTCGGGCGCTCAGCTCTGAGGCTCTTACTCCAACTAAACTAAAAAAAGCTGGAAGTGGAGCAGTGGCTTAGTAGCACAAGAACAGTGCTGGGGGCCTGAGTTCAAGCCCCAGGACAGGCACACACCCACACCCACACATCCCTTGTTCAAGTCGTGCAGCTAAGAACTACTGAAGCAGAATGGAAGTCTGCCTGTTGAAGGGTGGCTGCCCTGGGGGGCGGGCACTGGGTGCCTCTCCCCACCCCCCTCTGTGGGCTGGGCGGTGCCAGGAGGCTGGGAGGAGGGAAGAAAGCAGGTAATGCCTAGCGAACCAACAGAGGCAAAAGCCCAGAATATTCCCCACCAACAGGAAGCCAGGGAGCTGGCCACCCCGACCAGGCCCACAGTTACCATGGGACTGTTTCCTCCCACGATAATCCTCTAAGTGGCCCCATGGGCCTCGGCGCCACACGCCCCCACCAGCCAGATGCAGGCTGCATGCCCCAGCTGCCCCAGACACGCACCGGCAGGCTTGGGGAAGGAGCAGCAGAAACAGAGAGGGGCTGACCTGCGCCATTCGAACCCAGAGCTTCCTCCTTCTCCAAAGGTGCCAGCTAGACGTGCCCAAGCCTGGCAGAGGGGCCAGCGCTGCTCCCCGAGGCTGGCACACGGAACAGAGGCCCTCCAGCCCCACACCCGCAAGCTCTGCCGACCCTGGACCCTCCCTCCCTTCAAGTTCAACCTTCAAAATCTCTCTAGCTCAGCTGGGAGGCCCAGTGCTGTCGCCTGTAATCCTTCCTGCGCTAGAGGCTGAGATCTGAAGACCAGGATTCCAAATCAGCCCTGGGAGGACTTTGAAAGTCCATAAGATTCTTTTGTCTAATGAACCACCAAAGAGCTAGAAGGAGCCCTGTGGCTCAAGTGGTAGAGCACTAGACGTGAGTGAAAAAAACTAAGGGGTGTACCGTACCCAGGCTTTTACTTTAAGGCTCAGCAGAGCGCATGTACCTGCATGCACACACGCGCATG